TTTTTTTTTCCATTTTTCTATTTGTTTTATTTTTCAATTTGTACAGAACCTGGGAAGGGAGCCTCTTCAGATACCCCTGCATAGATAAATTTCTGTCTCTTCCTTAAGAACCATAATTTGGCATTGGTGATATTTATCCTTATTAAAATAATACAATACTTATTATCAGTTCCACTCAATATTATCTCACATTGAGTATGTATGAATGTCTCTATGTGTCCCTAACCATCATCAGCTAGAATGTAAGTTCTTTCTGACTAGAAATAATTTCTTTAGGAAATACTTTCTCCCTATCTGTATTCTCCATGGGATTTAACGCACTCAGAAATATATGTTGTTAAAAAAAAAAAAAGAGAGAGACTTTTTCCTCCTAAAAAACTATATAAAATATAATTGATCACAGAATTATAGAATAACATCTTATTTATTTGATAAGAACATGTAACCATGTATACTGAGTAATTAGAAATTGATTCTTTAATACTCTTCTTTTTTAGGGAGAGACTATTACCCTTTTTCTTAATACCATGTACTGTACACTTTGTGACTATAGTAATCTTCATACCCCAAACCATATTTGTCTTTCTTCACTGGCACATTTTTATATCATGATCAATTATGTTATCTTATTAAAGATGGTCTAAAATAGGGACTTAACAGTTGATCAAAATAGAGGAAATTTAGCCATGTTGAGTAACATTGAGAGAAAATTTGGAGATAGAAAAATAGTATTTATCATGAAATTTCAAAGACCAAAGAAAGGAGAGAAACAAGAAAATATAGAAAAAGCAGCTATCAGCAGCTAAGAAATTCAGAAGTAGATGCAGGCGTAAGGAAGGGATCTAGAAAAGTAGCTTCCCAAACCCACTGCTATCGAGTTGAGTCTGACTCATAGTGACCCTCATTGGTTTTCCAAGGCTGTAAATATTTATGGAAGTATATTGCTTCATATTCCCTCCATGGAGCAGCTGGTGGGCTTGAACCACCAACCCTCTGGCTAACAGTCAAGTGCTCCAGGCACTGTGCCAAAAGATATACCCATAAGAGTGTTCAGGTGCATTTTAGCATGATGCTCAGTGCCTCTTTCTGGGAGTGAATGTGATGACTTAAAGAACTCACAGGGTTGTTCAGCACCTATTCTATCTTGCAGATATCTTTTTGGGTAAAACTAAAAACTCAAGTAACAAGTTTAATTTTTTGCAGGAGCTCAAAAAGAAAAAAATGTACTAAATCCAGTTAAAATGTTGTAACACCCACCCACTGTTACATATAGAGAATTTAGAAATTCTTACTGTTTTACATGGTAAGAGGAGCTCTGGTTGTGCTGTGGTTAAAGCATTGGTTCAAACCCACCAGGTGTTCCATGGGTGAAAGATGAGGCCGTCTGCGTCCATAAAGATTCACAGCTTTGGGAACTCTATGAGACAGTACTGCTCTGTCCTGTAGGGTTTCTATGAGTTGGAATCAACTCTAGGGAAGTGGGTTTTTTTTGGTTTTGGTTATGTGTTTCTACCACTTTTCAAGGCTCCTTTCCTCGATATTTTAGAAAAGTTTTCACATCAGCATTCATTTTGATGAGAGATTAACATTGCTTGCTAAAAGTGAAGAAGACTTGAAGCACTTACTGATGAAGATCAAAGACTACAGCCTTCAGTATGGATTACAACTTAACATAAAGAAAACAAAACCCATCATTAACTGGACCAATAAGCAACATCATGATAAACAGAAAATATTGAATTTGTCAAAAATCAAAAACCAAACCTACTGCCATTGAGTTGATTCCAACTCTACATAGGATAGAGTAGAACTACCCCATAAGGTTTCCAAGGATTTAAATCTTTATGGAAGTGATTGCCTTATATTTTTCCCACAGAGCAGCTGGTGGATTTGAAGTGTTGACCTTTTGGTTAGCAGCTGAATATCTCAGCCACTGTACCACCAGAGCTCCTGAAGTGGCTATTGAAAATACCATGGCTTGGGTCAGGTGCACGTTAGTCCTCAAACTGACATCTTTGCTTTGAACATTTTAAAGAGATCTTTTGCAGCATATTTGCCCAACACAATACACTGTTTTATTTCCTGACTGCTGCTCCCATGGGCATTGATTGTGGATCCAAGTCAAATGTAATCCTTGACAATTTCATTTTACTTGTAATCCTTAACAACTTCAGAAAGAATTTAGAAGTCTTATATTCCTTTAAACATTATAATGTAGAAAATTTTAAAATAGAAACATCAACAATAAAGATAACCTCTAATTCCTCCACCTAGACATTACCATTGTTAATATTTTTGATGTCTTTCCTTCTCTTTCTATATGTAGTTTTTAATTAAGTTGAGCTCAGTTACAGTGCTGTTTCCTAAAGGTTTAAACGTTATATGATAAGCAGTTCTCATTTCATTAAGTACTCTCTGAAATAATTTTCTAAAGAGAATTTTTAATGGTTGCCTAATATTCCAGTATATGAACATACCATGATTTATCTAGATTCTCCTTGTTAAACATGTAATTTCCTTTCAACTCTTCCTCTTATAAAGAACATTGCAAGGAATGCTCTCTGTACATGTTTAAAAATAAATAATCTTTTCCATTTTCCCTTGTTGTTGTTGTTGTTGTTGTTATTTGCCGTCGAGTCGGCCCCGACTCATAGCAACCCCTCCTTGGGTTTCCGAGGCAGTATCACTATGGAAGTAGGATTGCCCAACCTTCCTTCCGAGGAGTGGCTGGTGGGTTTGAAACGCCAGCCTTCTGGTTAGCAGTCAAGTGCCTTAGGCACTATGCTACCAGAGCTCCTCATTCTCCCTTATGCCCACGCAAGACATCTCAGCTTTCCTTTGTCTTTTCACTATGCAAGTTTGTCTTTTCCTTCTCAAATGCACTTGGATTACAATTTTTAAATTTCTCATTGCAGCAGCGGCAAACTCCTTTGCATGTAGCTGCCAATCTTGGAAATGTAGAACTGGTGGAGACCCTCCTGAAGGCAGGCTGTGACCTGAAGATTGTTGATAAGGTAATTCTATCGACTCCACTCTGTTCAGGTGGGAGGTTGCTAAGCTCTCTCTGTTGGCTGTCAACTGTGGGCAGCAACATTAACATAGCCTTTGTGAAATGGATGGGAACTGGAGAAACCTTGTATCTTCACAGTCAGTAGATCGTTCTGATTTTGATTGAGATATGTCAGGAAGAATTTTTACTCTGAATAATGAAATATATATTTTTAGAATTCACATTATTTATTTTCAAATAAATTATGGAATCCTGTGGTCCAAAAATATAAATAGTAAAGACTTAGTAAAATGTTCCTACCAGTCCCTGTTCCTAGTTGTTATTTGTCCTGTTCTCATACTACCTTTGTCATGTTGTTGTTTTTACTTGCAATGAAGTCAGCTCCAACTCATGGCAACCCCATGTACAGCAGAATGAAATATTGCCCAGTCCTGCACAATCCTTTTGTTTGTTGGTAGGTTTAAGTGCCTTCCAACCTAAAGGAGTCATCTTCCAAAACTATTAGAGACTCTTCTGTTGTGCTTCATAGGCTTTTCATTGGCTAATTTTCAGAAATAGATCATCAGGCCTTTCTCTCTAGTCTATCTTAGTCTGCAAGCTCTGCTGAAACCTGTCCACCATGGGTTATTTTGCTGGTATTTGAAATACCAGTGGCATAGCTTCCAGCATCATAGCAACCTGCAGCCACCATAGTATGACAAACTGACAGACAGCAGTGGGCCTTTTCCACAGGTATCCATTATTATAATGTCCTTTCAGAGTTCCTTTGTGCATCTACACAAGGAAACATAAACACAGACTTTTATTTCACACCTTCATCCTTTACACACAATGGTAGCATTCTTATACGTAATGTTCTGTATTTTACTTAAGATAGAAAATGGAGGGAGATCTTTCCATACAAAGAAATGGAGTTTCTTCTTCATTTTATTACATTGTATTCTTTTATTTTACAGCTCATACCATATACTATCATATGAACAGATCATAATTTCTTTAATCAGTCCTCAGCTGATAGCATTTAAGTTGTTCCTAAGATTTGCTTGCACATGTGTCTAAACTTGTTTTTAAAGAAAGACAATTTTGTTCCTTTCAAGACTAAATAATGCAGACTAACCCATTGGAGGGCTCTTGGGTAAGGTTCCAGCTTTATTGAAAGGTATAGAAAGAGGAGACTTTGAGTGCCTCTGTGCTGTGCAATTCAAAAAACAAAAACAAACAAATAAAAATCCCCAACAAACTAATGCCATCGAGTTGATTCCAATTCATAGTGACACCCATTTGGTTTCTGAGGCTGTAAGCTTTCCTCCTTCTCCAGAGTGGTTGTTGGGTTTGACCACTGACCTTTTGGTTAGCAGCCAAATGCCTTATCTATGGCACCACCAGAACCCCCACAATAACACTATCTTATTTAAACTTTCCCATCTCTTCTGAGAGGTGGACAAATTTGAGAGAAGATGTGAGAGATTTTGATGACATCAAAAGGGTCACATACATAATAAGAGACAGAGCTGGGCTTCACACCCAAGGGTACTGACTGGTCGGTCACCCAGTGTTTTCCCATAATTGTTGGTGAAGATGACTGCTTCCAAATTTGAATGTTTTCCTTGCCTTGCCTTTACTACACTACTTATTAGCCTAGCACATCCCTAATTCACAGTGCAAGCCTGAGCCCACCCTTGTCTATTTCAGAGTCATTCCTTTTATGTTTATAGGACCTAAAGTAGTAGGATTTTTACTTTTTGTTATAAGTCAGTTTTAAAATTAACTCTTTAAAAAAAATCATAAAAATAATGTAATCCCACTATGGACTATGTGGAAAACATAGAAAAGCCTAAGGAAGGAAAAATGTCCATCCATAATTCTATCACTTGGATGGTATGCCACCACTTCCACCATTTCCACCAGTTCTGGCTCATTAACTGCTACTAACATTTGTTGTTGTTGTTATGTGCCGTTGAGTTGGACCTGTCTCGTAGCGACCCCTCCTTGGGTTTCTGAGGTGGTATCACTACAGAAGTAGATTGCCCAACCTTCCTTCTGAGAAGTGGCTGGTGGGTTTGAACCGCCAGCCTTCTGGTTAGCAGTCAAGTGCCTTAGGCACCATGCTACCAGTATTTTCCTATGCTTTCTTTTTGTAATTTATTCTACTTAGCACCTCCAAGGCAATCTTTGGGGTGGAGAATCTATAGCATTGGGCAGGGCATCTGTGTTGGGACAGTTGATGCTAGTGGGCATGACACTCTAAACAAAGTCCCCAGTTCGCTAGGCCTGTATTAGACTGGGTTCTCTAAAGAAACAAACCAGTAAAGCTTATATATATGTATATATAGAGAAATTTATCTTAGCAAAATGGCTCACACACTTACAGAAGCTGGCAGGTCCAAAGTTCCTGGATCAAACGTCAAGCTGGAGGCTTTTCTATGTCAAGCTGGAGGCTTTTCCCTACTCTTGCAGCCTCAGGGGCTGAGGAGCTCAAGGCTGGCAGGCAGTACACCAGCTGTTGACTCCAACGAATGACAAATCCAAGATCTCCAGGCCAAATGGTAGATTGTTCACTCACGGACAGTTGTAGGCAGCACAACAGAATGTCGATCCACAGAAGAATGTCTCTTTTCCCAGAATGTCCATAGATGTACTGGAAGCAGGCCACACCCCTAGGGAAACTCCCTTTCAACAGATTGGCTGCTCAAAACATAATCATCTGATCCCATCATGGGAATAACCACATCACAACAGCTTAAACCACACAGAATTGTGGTTCAGCCAAGTTGACACACAGCTCCAACTGTCACAAGGCCTCACAATTTGATTTTCCTTTTCCTCCTTTCTCTTTCTTCTCAGGGGTCTGCTACCTGGTTGTTACCCAATGCATATTTAACTAATGAATAAAAAGTACCTTTTCTACCTGCACTACAATTTTTATTAAAGATAAGAGACTGTTTCTAAGATCACATAAAGGTCAAATGGGAAAAAATGGAGGCAAGATTTGGTGTAATTTGACCTTCTGGAAACCTATCTTCTCGACCTGTGGCATCACAAAGCTCCTAGATGTCTCTGTCCAGTTCACCCCCTTCTCCCCTGCCCTGCAGGTGGCAGAGATACCTGGACTTCCATTCCTGCAAACACTCCCTTGGAAGATTTTCTTAGGAGCTTGAAAACCCTGCTCTCAGAATGTTGCCTTCCCAAAATAGGCTAATTATGGTGAATCAAATGTCTTTATAAGCCAGAATTTAGATGGTATACAATTACAGGCTTGCTAAATGCCTGAAACATGCATTTCCTCCTAATTTCATTACTATCTCTTTTGAGCAGGGGCTAATGACTTTTGGCCTTGATTTTCAGGCTCACCTGACTTTGAGTGCCTAGAATAATAGCCAGATCATTTGTGTTGGTGGGAATTGTCCTTGTTGCAAACATCCAGACATGTGAGAGGATTACTGAGATAAATTTCTGGATTCCTAAGAATAGAAACAGGATTTCTAAGACTGTAACTTCTTTTGGAGTTATTTCTGACCATTATTATGAATTATCTTTGGGGTCCCTGAGCAAATTGTTCATGGATCATTTGAAAAGCAAACGAGAACCAACATGCCTTTGCTTAGGGAAAAAAACATACAGATGTACAGGTCATCCACTACATAAAATCTAGGTACTCTGCTGGTTGAGCTGTGTGCTCTGGCTTTGAGCTATATCTATCTTGAGAAAAGTATACCTTTTTGTAATTCGTATAAAGTACCATATAGGCTCCAGGTAGCTCACACCCCAAATAAAGTCCAGAACAGTCTTTGCTACTCATTCCATTTGCTTAAGACTCCAACCCTTTCCCTTTGGTTAGAGGCAGCATGGTATAATAGAAAACATTCTAGAAAGTAGCCCAGTGAACTGAATTCTATACCATGGATTTGTAGTGTCATCATTATTATTATTACTCTTAATAGATCTATACCTTTTCTGTCTTTCTCCTCAACACAAAGCTTCTACCTTATGCTCTAAGGTGGCTGGTTGTTCAAGCTTCAGCCTTCATGCCAGCGTTGTACTCAAGAGGAAGGAGAAAAGGAAGGAGAACAACATCCCTTCTGTCTTTAAAGATCATTCCAGCAGTCACATGGACCACTTCCATTTACCATTGACCAGAACTTGAGTCGCATTCCTAACTGCAAGGAAGGCTAGGAAATACAGTCAATATTGGGGGTAGCCAAGTGCCCACCTAAAACTCAGGAGGGCTCTTTGCTAGAAGAAAAAAGAAAAGGCTATTGGGGGGCACTTATAACCTGTGCCACAGATGGTGTCATCCCTCAGGAGAAAAAATGTATGATGCTATTACCTACTTGCTGATGACTTCACTGTGCAAGCAAGTCAGGAAGACACCTGGGGGTCTTGGCGAAACGTTTGGCTTCTCATTGATAGATCATGTGTAAAACATCATCTGTTGATGGTAGATCCCCACCCTAAAACAATGAACTGTTGTTATCTAAGTCTTAGGGGCATTGGTGGAGGTATAATCTGAACCTGGAAAAACTTGCGAAGTAGTTCCAGTCTTTAAAAGGATATCCAACCAAGCTCCTCTTTGTGTCCCTTATTCAGTTTTTCTTTCTCCAGGTGACACAGCACAATAACCATGGGCCCTGTACTGAGGAGCTTGGTTACAATATCACATTTAACAGATCCTGAGAAGCTGAAAACTGGCCCAAATTCACCCAGCAAGGAAGACTCAGGATTTGATCCCAGGCCCTCTTGTTCCAAAGCTAGCTAATTACTAGACAATACTGCCTGACTCTTTCTTTTTTAACTTCAGCAAGGAAAGAAGGCTATGGCCGTGGCTGCCAGGAGCAACCACAGCCTTGTTATGGACATGATTATTAAAGCAGAGAGATACTATGCCTGGAGAGAGGTAAGGAAGGATGATTCCAGCACAACAAGGGGCTCTCTGACAATCCCAGTCTTCTTACAAGGCAATGTGGGGTCTATGTAATGATTTCCCACCCCCTCTCTCTAACTTAGAGTCCTGTTCAGTGCAGTTATAGCTGTCTCTCCGTCTTGTGCTGCCCTCATTCATGAAATGAATTACTCACTTTCCTTCCTCCCCTTCCTTTGCTGGCATCAGTGTTGCTGTTACCTGCCCTTGAATGTGCTCTCACGCATGATGTCCCCATGTACAACGGGATCAGACAGTTGTGATCCATTGGCTTTTGTGGAAGTAGATAGTCTGGCCTTTCTTTCTAGTCCATATTAGTCTGGAAACTCTGCTGAAACATCATGGCATCACCCAAGCCTTCACTGACAGCTGGGTAGTGGCTACATTAACTGGGAATTCATCCGGCCTCCCTTATGGAAGGTGAAAATTCCACCTCTGAACCACCACCATTCCCTAGCAGTGTCAGTAGGTAATCAGAAATGAGAGGGTGATAGAGCTCCATTGGTCCAAGCAGCCCAGTCCATGTGAGCTCTGGTGGGTCCAGCATGAATGCCATTGGTGGCTGACTCCTTGTTTGTGCCCTTTGTCCTGGAGTCTCTGGCCATGATCCATTTTAGAAGCCTCCAGACTAGCATTCTAATAAGTGGTAACAAAGCTCATATTTATGGCCCTGTAGTTTTCAGTACACCCATTTGCTGGCTTTCCAGCACTCAAGTATTCAGCGACAGTCACTAAAACGTTACTTATCTTAGGAACACACACACACACACACACACACAAACTTATCTCCAAGTAATTCTTTCTACCTTTCATTTATTTTTGCTTCTGATGTCTATCACTCATGCAGCAACTCGATAGAGTAACCTTCTCCCTAAGAGTCAAGTCTGTGCCCTCAGGCAGGAATTTCATTACCAAACACCAACTTCAATTTCAAGGAATGTGTCTTTCCCACTCTGGCTGAAGGGCCACCCGATTCCAATTCCATGGTGGGAGCCGTGGTGCGCAGTGGTTAAATGCTTGTCAGTTTGAATCCACCAGCTGATTAGTGGGAGAAAGACTTGACAATCTGCTTCTGTAAAGATTACAGCCTTAAAAACCCTGTGGGGCAGTTCTACTCTCTTATAGGGTCACTGTGAGTCAGAATAGGAGCTCTGATAGCGTAGTGCCTAAGGCACTTGACTGCTAACCAGAAGGCTGGCGGTTCAAACCCATCAGCCACTCCTCGGAAGGAAGGTTGGGCAATCTACTTCCGTAGTGATACCACCTGGGAAACCCAAGGAGGGGTCGCTATGAGTTGGGGCTGACTCGATGGCACATAACAACAACAACAACAACAACAACATGAGTCAGAATCTCCTCGATGGAATGGGTTTATGGTTCCAACAACTTAGCGTCAGAATTTGGACCTTAATTGCTCAGGCTTCTACCTGTGAAGACTCTCAAGACTGGATTTCTGTCCAGATTACCAATTTTAGGAAATTTCTCTTCAAATCTTGAAGCAAAAAGCATTTATTTTGGCAGTTTGAACCCACCAGTTACTCTGCGTAAGGGAGACTGGGCAATCTACTTCTGTAAAGATTTACCACCTCAGAAACCCAAAGCGGGTCGCTATGAGTCAACATGGACTTGATGGCAATGGGTTTGGGTTTTTTTTTTATTATTATTCGTTTCAGTTTAATCTCCCTCTCTCTCTCTCTCTCTCTCTATGTTGTTGTTATGTGCTGTCAAGTCGGACCCGACTTATAGCGACCTCTCCTTGGGTTTCACAGGTGGTATCAACAGAAGTAGATTGCCCAACCTTCCTTCCTGGGAGTGGCTGGTGGGTTTGAACTGCCAGCCTTCTGGTTAGCAGTCAAGTGTCAAGTGCCTTAGGCACTACACTACCAGAGCTCATATATATGTGTATGTGTGTGTGTGTATGTATATGTGTGTGTATGTGTGTATATATACATATATACACATATACACACACATATATACATACATCATTTTAATGGCCATACTGTCCTCTTTGCAACTTTTCTTATTTTCCTCTAAAATAAAACAAGACACCTCTAACATTTTTTTAACAGCCTTCTCTCTTTATATTCTCTCTTCTTCATCCTCCTCTTCCACTTTCTTTCAATGTTCCTCCTCCTCTTTCCTCTTCTCATCTTCATTCTCCCTGTCTTAAATCATCACTATGTTTTATTGAACACAGTTTTATCAAGTTCCTCCTTTCCTTTTGCTCTTTAAATTGTTATACTCACATTTTCTTTAAACATGGAAATTTTCCCTGGTTCTATTTTTAATGCTTATAAGTTTTTTTTTTTAGATTCTTTTGGCTAGATGAGAATAAATTACTTTTCCTCCTAAGATATCTTTAAGATGTAAGAATTAGATGAACTTTGAAAATCATATATAATGCATGCATATAGCTGGAGAAACCCCTCAGAAATGTTTAGAGTTGTTAACCTTGGCGATAAGTGGGGGCCCAGGATCTAGGGTGAGAGAAACACTTATTTTTTAAATGTAAATCCCTTTGAATTTCTTTTTTTACCAAATGCATTTATTATTTAAATTCTCTCAGTTCATTGAACAAGTTTATATCCTCACTAATATAAAATGTCTCCTAACAAAAGATTAAAGAGGTGATTGAAAATTTCTCTCTTATTATGTCCATTTATCCATCTTGGTGTTGAAGTTTGTGTCAACTTGGCTGGGCCTGGTTGAGTGGCTGGGCAGCTGGTGGTAGTTATTCCCTGTGATGAGACTGGCGACCCTCCAGGGTGGAACCTACCATAAGCAGCTGAGTAGCTGCTTTAGGGATATGTCTGCTTCCCACATATAAGAAACAGCTTTGGGAATGGTCTCTAGCTTATGGCATGCTTGGACCCTGCATGTAGCTGTGTAATTGTTCAGTAGCCTGCCATCATGCTCTGCCGACCTTGGGACTTTCAGCAGACTTGAATCAATGGCCTGCCGTGTGGTTTGGTAATTAGGACTGTGCCTTTTTACTTGTCAACCTTGGGCTTGTCAGCCTCAGCAGTCAGTAGCTGTCTGAGTGAAGAAAAGCCTCTAGCTCCAGTGAGCCAGGAGCAGAAGGCAGAGCTGAAGCCCAAGGCTGAAGGGCTTTCATCCAATCCCTAGAGCCTGACACTTTGAACTTGGATTTAAAGCCTCCAAATTGTAAGAGAATAAACTCCTGTTTGTTAAGGCCATCCCATTTGTGGTATATTCTTGTTGGAGTGGTATTAGGTAGCCAGAACACCTTCTAACTAAACCATTCAATCATCCATCATTAGATTCAGTGGTGTAGAGGCAAACGGGAGCTTCCTAAAATCTGGTTTATGCTATTTTAATTCCTAACAGTTCTGGCTTGATTTTCTCCTGCAAATGGGTTGGTGTTTTGGCAGACATGCTATTTAATGCTTTCAATGACTACTGAAAAGATCCGAGATTTCCAAATACCCTGCCCCTGTTTTTTTTCTTCCCTCAATGCCATGTTGATCCCCTGCACTTTCTAATGGAAGTCAGAAAGATGGCCCAGTCCAATCCTGGAGTGAACAAAGCATCCAAGTTTCTCAAAGCAATAAAAATAGAATAGTACCAAGATGCAGGCAGAGGCATTTTGCACTTTCCTCTTTCCTTGTGGTGTTTGGGGTTTTGGACTCATCATTGTTTCAAGAGATGGAATTAGGAGAAAAGGAAAAAGGTAAGTGCCTATGGCTCCCTAGTTGGTTGGGTTTTTCTATCATTTGCCTTATCTCTTTTAGGATTCCCTGGGAGCTAGACACTGTGGGATAAAGCTGAGACTGGGTTAGAGAAGATCCTGCATTTTATAATCCACAAAGAGATTAAGGGTATTCACACCTTCCATTCCTATTCCAACTTCTCTTCACCAAGCCCAGCAAGTAGAGAAAGATTTTTCCTTTCTCTTTGACCCCACATCCCAGGAGCTGGTGATGCCATGCAGGGTGGATCATGATCCATGAGGAGGACTGAGTAGCAGGCCCACTCATGTTCTTCTCACAAGTTTTGAGAATCAGGGCCACATACCTTTCCAACCCACTTCATACCCCGGCATTGACTCCTTTCTTGCTGTTCAGAGTGTCTTCCATTAACGTTCGTTTTCATTTAAATAAAAGATAAAAACAGAAGTCATTACACAGGAGAGAATATATAAGAGGAGGTCCCAAATATCTTCCTGGGGCTGTGTCTCCTGCATGTCCTTAACTAATCTGAAACACTCTTGATAGATGATTATCTTGAGCCCTAATGGCATATGCAGGGCCCATGGGTGGCATGAACAGTTTACACTCAATTACTAACATAATATTAGTTAATAATTGGAACATGGAATGTAAGAAGTCTTAATCTAGGAAAATCAGAACTTGTCAAAAGTGAAATGGAATGCATAAACAATATCCTAGGCATCTGTGAGCTGAAATGGACTGGTATTGGCCATTTTGAATCAGAAAATCATATGGTCTACTATGCTGGGAATGACAAACTGAAGAGGAATAGTGTCACATTCATCCTCAAAAAGATGATTTCAAGATCTATCCTGAAGTACAAGGCTGTCAGTGATAGGATAATATCCATATCCCTATGATCAAGAACAGTTACTATTACTATTATTCAAATTTATCCACCAACAACTAAAGCCAAATGAAGAAATTGAAGATTTTTACCAACTTTTGCTGTCTGAAATTGACCAAATGTGCAAGATGTAGTGATTATTACTGGAGATTGGAATGTGAAAGTTGGAAACAAAGAAGAATCATCGGTAGTTGGAAAATATGACATTGGTGATAAAAATGACGCTGGAGATCACATGATAGAATTTTGCAAGACCAATGACTTATTTATAGCAAATACCATTTTTCAACAGCACAAATGGCAAGTATATATTTGGACCTTGCCAGATGGAATACAGGAATCAACACGACTACATCTGTGGAAAGAGGTGATGAGAAGCTCAATATCATCAGTCAAAACAAGGCAAGGAGATGACTGTGGAACAGATCATCAATTGCTCACATACAAGTTCAAGTTGAAGTTGAAGAAAATTAAGATAAGTCTGTAAGAGCCAAAGTGCAACCTTGATTGTATCCCACCTGAATTTAGAGACCATTTAAACAATAGGTTTGACACATTGAACACCAGTGACCAAAACCCAGACCAGGTTTTGGGTGATATCAAGAACATCATACATGAAGAAAGCAAAAGGTCATTAAAAAGAAAAGGAAGAAAAGACCAAAATGGATGTCAGAAGAGACTCTGAAACTGACTCTTGAAAAGGAAGTAGCTAAAGCAAATGGTACATAACAACAACAACAACAAAGCAAATGGAAGAAAAGCTGAAATAAAAGAACTGAACAGAAGATTTCAAAGGCAGCTCAAGAAGACAAAGTAAATTCCTATAATGAAGTGTGCGAAGACCTGGAGTTAGAAAACCAAAAGGGAAGAACATGCTCAGCATTTCTCAAGCTGAAAGAAAAATTCAAGCCTCAAGTTGCAATATTGAAGGATTTTATGTGCAAAATACTGAATAATGCAGGAAACATAAAAAGAAGATGGAAAGAATACACAGAGTCACTATACCAAGAAGAATTGTTTGATACTCAGCTATTTCAGGAGGTAGCATATGATGAAGAACCAATGGTGTCGAACGAAGTCCAAGCTGCACTGAAGGAATTGGGGAAAAGCAAGACTCCAGCAATTGATGGACTTCCCACTCAGATGTTTCAACACATGGATGCAGCACTGGAGGCACTTAGTTATCTGTGTCAAGAAATCTGGAAGACAGCTACTTGGCCAATTGACTGTAAGAGATCGATATTTGTGCTCATTCCAAAGAAAGGTGATCCAACAGAATGTGGAAATTATCGAACAATATCATTAATATCACACACAAGTAAAATTTTGTGGAAGATAATTCAAAAATGGTTGCAGCAGTATATTGACAGGGAACTTCCAGAAATGTTAGCTGGATTCAGAAGAGGATATGGAAAGAGGGATATCATTGCTGAAGTTAGATGGATTTTGGCTGAAAGCAAAGAATACCACACAATAAAACTTGTGTTTTATTGACTATGCAAAGGCATTCAACTCTGTGGATCATAACAAATTATGGATAAAGTTGTAAAGAATGGGAATTTCCAAACACTTGGTTGTGCTCATGATGAATCTGTACATAGACCAAGAGGCTGTTGTTTGAACAGAAAAAGGAATACTACATGGTTTAAAATCAGGAAGGGAGTGTGTCAGGGTTGTATCCTTTCACCATGCTTATTCAATGTGTATGCTGAGCAAATAATCTTTGAAGGTGGACTATATGAAGAAGAGCACACATCAGGATTGGAGAAAGACTCATTAACAACCTGGGATGTGCAGATAACACAGCCTTGCTTGCTGAAAGTGAAGATGACTTGAAGCACTTACTGATGAAGATCAAAGACTACACCTCAACATAAAGAAAACAAAAATCCCCACAACTGGACCAGTAAGGAACATCACAATAAATGGAGAAAAGATGAGGTTTTCAGGAATTTCATTTTACTTGGATCCACAATCAATGGCCATGGAAGCAGTGGTCAGAAAATCACATGGCATATTGCACTGGGCTGATCTGCTGCAAAAGACCTCTTTAATACTTTGAGAAGCAAAGATATCACTTTGAAGACTAAACCAAAAAAACCCAAACTCACTGCTGACGAGTCGGATCCGACTTATAGTGACCCCACCTGGGGTTTCCAAGGCAGTATCACTATGGAAGTAGATTGCCCTGTCTTCCTTCTGAGGAGTGGCTTGTGGACCCACCAGCCTTCTGGTTAGCAGTCAAATGCTTTAGGCACTATGCCACCAGAGCTCCCACTTTGAAGACTAAGGGTGCACCTAACCCAAGCGTTGATATTATCAGTCACCTGATATGCATGTGAAAGCTGGACAATGAATAAGATAGACCGAAGAAGAGATGATGCTTTTCAATTGTGGTGTTGGAGAAGAATACTGAAAGTACTGTGGACTGCTAGAAGAACTAACAATTCTGTCTTGGAGAAAGTGCAGTAGGAATGCTCCTTAGAAGAGATAATGGCCTTTCCTCACCTACTTTGTTCATGTTGTCAGAAGGGACCATTCCCTGGAGAAGGATTTCATGCTTGGTAAAGTAGAGGGTCAGTGAAAATGGGAAGACCCTCAGCGAGATGGATTGACACAGTGGCTTCAACAATGGGCTCAAGCACAGAAAGGATTGTGAGGTTGGCACAGGACCGGGCTGTGCTTTGTTCTGTTGTACAGAGGGTCGCTATGAGTCAGAGCTGACTCAATGGCACCTAACAACAACAACAACACTAACAACTCTAACTTAAAGGTTAGTGCCCAAATCAACCCAGTAGCACTGTGGAAGAACAGCCTGGCATGGCGATCTGCTCTGTAAGATCTGTTGCTGTTGTAGGTACTGTCGAATCAGTTGTGACTTTTAGTAACCTTATGTGTATCAGAATGAAATGTTGTCCAGTCCTGTGCCATCCTCACAATCATTGCTGTGTTTGAATACACTCCTGCAGCCACTGTGTCAGTCCATCTCATGAGGGTCAGTTCTACTCTGTAATACAGGATTACCAGAAGGCTGGCAGTTCAAACCCACCAGCCACTCCTCGGAAGGAAGATGGGGCAATCTACTTCTGTAGTGATACTGCCTTGGAAACCCAAGGAGGGGTCGCTATGAGTCGGGTCCGACTCGACGGCACACAACAACAACAACAACAACCATGAGTTGGAATTAATTCTACAGCAATAGGTTTTTTATTATTTATTTATTTTTTAAATATATGACAGAAACAGTTCTAGGAAACCACAGCACCTGCTTCCCTTTGAGATTTCCTCCAGGTTTTTGATTGCTGGTTTGGTTTTTAGTTTGATTCTGTAGGGCTCTGGTAATTTCTGCAGAAGGAGAAAAAGGAAACTTTGAAAAACCAGAAAATAAGATGGCAATACAGGCAGAGAGCTATCCGGCTAAGCCAGGATAAACTGGCTTAAACCAAAATGATACCGACTTCCATTGGCCTGTTCTGAGTTAGGTTCCTAGTCTGGTCTCCTCATACATACCAGAGAGCAGGATACATCAAGGGACCCCCTGTATGGTCTTATTAAGAGTACACTTTATCTGGGACTCACTGAAGCTTTGATATGAGAAAATTAAACACTGCAAAAAAGGAAAGGGGCAAGAGATTGAAAGGAAGGCCATTAAGACATTTTTGTTGTGGTGACATTTGTTAGCCCAGAAATCCCCTCTGTTCTCTTTTTGGGTGTCAGATATCAGTCAGCCGGCTGATATAGAAGCCTTTATTTTCTATGTCAGATAGTACTCAAGCTTTTTGCTTTAGACATTTGTTTGCATCTTGGATGACAAAAAAAAAATGATCCAATGATCGATGAAATTGAAAAAAGTCTGGATTACTACCTCACCAGTTATACCTGACAAGGTATCTGTTGTTGCTGTGTGCCATTGAGTCAATTCCAACTCCTAACTTTCCTATATGATAGAGTGGAACTGCTCTGTAGGGTTTTCTCGGCTGTAATCTTTATGGCAGCAAATCAAAAGGTCTTTTCTCCAGCAGAGTGGCCAGTGAGTTCGAACCGCCGACCTTTCAGTTAACAGCTAAGTGTTTAACCATTGCACTACTAGAGGTCCTTGAAAAATGTAAATATATACCCTGAATCAATGAGACAATAAGTAGAACATGTCTGAAATCATCTGATACAATTATTTTCAATTTAGGACCATCATGAGAACATTGAGGACTCTTCAATCAGGTTTACTCATTTATCATTCAAACAAGATCACAGTCTGGAGACTAGACACATTCGCACTTGCCTCTGAAACCTGGCTTACCATCAACTAAAGGCCAATGAGTGGCAGAAGCTGACCCATCTGTGGAACTTCACAGATGACCAGATCCGAGGCATTTAGGAGCAGTCTTCAGGTGAACAGTTCAGCCACTAGAGTTGGGAGATATTTTGTGTTAAAACAGTCTTTCCTGGTGTCAGGGTCTTCCACATAGGTTCCTGGTACTCATGATACTTGGCCAACCCCAAGGGACCAAGGAATAGGGACAGTTGGCTGGGTCACAAAGGTGCTTGGGACCTTTGCAGAGGGTTAACGCTCATGGGACTCTGTAGTAAGCTGAGGTTTACAAAAGATGATTTCCTTTATTGAGCCGTATTTAAAAGGTAGCGTTTAGCCTAGAAAGGAATTAATATTCCCAACTGTATGAGTACTAAGAAAGCAAGAAGCTAACAACTGGCTTGTTATGTGGAAGCCAACCTCTCTTAATAAATATTCCGTGACACTGTCTTGGGTGAATGAGTTTATTCCCCAGTCAAAGTGCTCACTGTGTAGGGCTCCACTCCAGGCAGAAATCTCTTTATCCAGGCTGGGGGCAGGGAAAACTTGGAGCAAATGGTCCCTATGCCCTCGGTGCTTGGCAGAGCCTGACTATGCCATGAGAAACACACGGGATACAGACTCAGTGGGCTTTCTCAGTTAAATGATTCCAAGTGTTGGGATCATTTCGGCCAGACTCCAGCTGTCAGAATTAGTGAGCTCAGCTCAGCTGTATTCCTTTAGCTTTGCTTTTTTGTTTCTTGACCCCCAAAAACCCACTACCATGGAGTTGATTCTGACTCACAGTGACCCTATAGGGCAAGATAGAAATGCCCCATAGTGTTTCCAAGGCTGTAAATCTTTATAGAAATTAGACTGCCTCATCTTTGTCCTACGGAGTAGTTGGTGGGTTTCAACTTACGACCTTTCAGTTGGTAGCCCAGCACTTAACCACTGCGCCACCAGGGCTCTTTGTTTCTTGACCAGACCCTAGGAAGTCTAAAAAGAGTTTGGTTGGCATTAATCAGTTAGCTTTAAATGTATAGAGACCATTGTTATTAGTGATTTATTAGTGGTTCCCACAGGGGGTGGGAAGAAGGAGGAAAGGTAGAATCTTACTTAGGGGACAATGAGCTCCTTTTAAAGGTGATGGAAAAATTTGGAAATGGATTGTAGTGATGGTTGAACAATACCATGAATATAATTAAGTCACTGAATTGTATATGTGAAGAAGGTTGCAATGGCAAATATTTTGTTACTACACATTCATCACAATAAAAAAATAATAAAACAATAAAAACAACAACAACAAAGGAGCAAACACTTTTCAGACACCTTTCTATTCAGAGAGACATAAGCATGTCCCCTGCTCAGGGGGTGATTCACTTTAACAATTGCTGGGAGTTGTAGATGGCAGAACCACGGCCCCAGGAGACCACACTGCTTCTACCACGTACAAGTATGTCATGGGGCTTTTTACTGCTAATTCTAAGGATACATTTTCATGTGAAAAAATGGTAGCTAATGCATTGAAAACGTTGAGTATTGGCTGTAACTCCTGAATTTTTTTTTTAATTGCTGCTAATTAGGCATATAGAGTTATGTGAAGTTTTTAGGAAAACTGAGTTTCCTTTTGGAAATCTCTCTTGATCTGAAGAAATGACCTGAAAATTATAGTGTATTTTCTTTTTTTTTTTTAATTATTATTAGGATTTGGGTGAAGATTTACAGAGTAAATTCACTTTTCAT